CCCCAAAACCCCAAAACCCCAAAACCCCAAGCTAAAATTTCAAAACTGATTTTAATTATTATAAGAAGATTTTATAGTGTGGCTAAAGCAGGAGGGGCTATTCGGCTCTACTGGAGGAAGGGGTTACTGATGGAAGGGGATGGCTAGAGGAAGGGGTGTGAGAGGAAGGGGTGTGAGGGGAAGGGGCTTACGCTGGGATATTCTTCGGATTAGGGTCTTGGAGTTGTACTGGGAGTCGTAGAACATTTGGTGTGGGATAGCTAGATTGAGGGGGGTTGAGGTAGAAGAGGGTTTTGGTGAAGAATTTTTGTTTAAATTTGATTTTTAGAATTTTTAGTTATACTGTGGTTGTTTTTTACAAGTGGTAAGCGCTAATTATTCAGAACATCGAGACAATAGTCTGTTATAGAAATTCTTCAGGAGTTGAATAGCAATCTAAAGCCTAAAAATTCGTAGAATTTATGCTGATTTATAAGAATTGGAACAGAACTCTAATAAGTATTCCTTGTTTATATCATAAGGGAGTATCCTATTGAATAGCAATTGCAATAAAATATGCTTCTATTCCTCTTATAAATAAAGGTTCTATGATTCTAAAATGTCTGACGATTATTGAATAAAAATACGTCCCAATGTGATTTGGTCACAATAACTCTCTCTATTTATTTCACCTAAGAAGTAAGCTAAGTCAACGCTTTAGTTATATAATAGCTGTGATCAGTTATAAAGTTCTTGAAGCTGAAGGAACACCCAGCAAGGTTTGATACTAGCTCTTCAAATTCAATATATCCTATCTAAAGATACATAATTTGTATCTAAGTTTGTTCCTCGGAAAGTATAAATCTCTATTGGTCTTCAATAAATATTCAAGGGAAGCATGCGGGAGGTTTTATACCTTGATCAGCAACTCTAAAAGATAAACAGAATCTTTTACTTTGAATCTAGAGGATGTGCATCTGCAATCTCTTGTGCCTTCTTATGTCTTTTTATATTCTTGAACCTCCTTCTCTTCTTCTTGGGTCTGGGCTTCTTGTACACTCCTATGCAGATTTATCATGATTTGATTAACAATGATGTTTAATAATAAAAATAAGGAGTATTCTAGACAAGCTAGTTTGAATCTTTGTCAAAGCAATGTCAAATGGATTTATATAGTGAAGGAATTGCTTACTCTTCTTTAAAGAACTTGATTCAACTTCGTTCATGTTAGCTTCGTTTTTAGGAGTCTATAAAATTGGAAATATTCATACCCTTAAAGTTGAATTTTTCTTCTTGCTCTCTTGTTTGGCTGATTTTGGGCTATGAAGGTTATTGAAAATATACATTTTCTTTCACATAATCTTTGTCAATCACTTAATGAGCTATATTGGTTAGATCTATGGTACTCACAAGGCGTGCATATTTATTCTTCTCTTGATAAATCTGCATTAACCTGAACAGCCATTCTATTAGAAATTTGAAGTTTATCATGACTATAGATATAAACACGACTGAATTCAGGATATCATGTTGGACATATCTAGAGTATACTAGGGCCCCCACAACGGTGGAAACAACTCCCATTGAAGACAAGAACTCAATTTTGTTGTTCTCAAAGTTCTTGTAAGGTTTTATTTTGATCTGAAGTCGAGCTGATAGCAGAAGTATTATCAGGGACAAATTAATTGTAACATTCAACTCAAAGAGAAGACACAACAAGATAGCTATCTTTCTGATGGTATTGACAAATTCCCAATATATGGCTTCAGGTTTGAGACCTTGGTAAAGCATTAAGAAATATTCCATAATTTTACTGTCTGGCTTATCCTTTTCTTTGTATATAGCAATGCAAACAGCCAAAGGACAACCAATGATCCATACAGCTAAGATCGGCACTGCTACTAATAATCACCATTTCAAATGTGTTGGGGAGAATCACTCAATATTAGTATCTACTTTTGCTACCTTGTATCCTTCATCAATTTCGATACATTTAAAAAGGCTGATGCTTCTCTCTGTTAGCTTTGTGTATAAAATAAATCCAATTGTGAGAAAAGATATCACAAGAGTTCTTTTCATATTTGTGCACCAAGCTGGCTTAATCAATCTAATAATTACCCACATTAATGCGGTAATAACAAATAAGATAATAGGCAAGATACTCATCAGGAACAGTTTAAAGATTGCATTAGAGTTGAAAAGAAATTGCACCTCTGTGTCTTTAATGAAGCAGTCAAATGACAAGAATACATCAGTAGATCCTCCAAACAATCTCATCGGACTTATAAGAGTAAGAAATCCAGCAGGATAGCCGTTTGTCATTGATGCTGCTACAGTTATTAACTGGATATAATTAGTAAGGATTCTTAGAAGAACCGATAGTTCACTTTCATTAGTTTTCCTCACATTTATAACCACCATTAATATGAAAAATAATAAGACAAGAAGTAAAGTGAATAAAACTTTGAATGCATTCTCAATTTGATTTGGGCATTTCTGTCACTCGTAGTCATTAACTTTCTCATATTTAATATCTTCAGTCACTACTCATTGGGAGCAGAGGTTACCTGAATACCCTTCTGCTCATTTCACTGGGTGGATGCTGGTGGGACTATTAACAAGGATTATTCAACTTTTAAATCAGCTATCTCTTATAGAAGTTTTCACTACCTAATTTCAAATTTAACTATTGTACTTTGTAATATCTATTGATTCTATCTCGTTGAGTGGTAATTTTAATACCTAATGTATACTCCTAAGGAAAATACAAACCTGATTTATTATAAGAAGGAACAACGACTAATTTAAGACCACAAACAGATTTGATTGCATTTATATGAAATCCTTGACTTAAAAAATACAGTTAGATAGGAAATCTGGCTCAAGAGAGAATTGTAGAGCAGTTATTTGGTAATAATCATTAAATTAATGGTAAAACTATTATTACAAAGATCTAATGCACGAGATTTTGATTATACTTTTAATAATTGATGTATCTTGCTTACTTAGAAGTTTGGTCTTCATTTTGATAATCGACATATCCTCCTTCACAAGCTTTTTCAACGATTCATTCAACAATTTTGGTTGAATTTTGAAATCTCCTCCAGTACCCAGAACTCACTGAAATTTCATTACTTCCAAGACATTGTGCATCATGTTGTCACTCGACTCACTCAGTTGCATTCCATTTAAGGGAGTATGTACCAGCAACTCATACTGTTCATTCATCACCTAGGATTCTTTCTCCTGGCTGTCAGTATCTAAACTTGATTTGGAGATCTTCCTGAATATACAAAGTGCCTAACACCTCTTTAACCTTGCCAATGTTGATTGATTTTGAACTCAGGGTAAAATTTGAGCTCCGAATCCCTCCAGTTGCAATGGCAGCAATATTATCAAACTGGGCTATTCCTTTACTCACAGAGGCTGTATTGTATCCTCTTATCTTAGCTGCATCGCTTTAAATAGTTTAAATATTTGATGTATTGTAAGAGATAAATAAATTAAAGAAAACTGGCTTAGGCTCCTTACTGTTGAAAAATTGTCATTAAATGTTGGTGTTTTTAATGCAAATTTTGGCTTTATAAAGGAAGATATCAAAATTGTGTTGAATGTTCTTGCTGATGGTAATTTTGAACCCAAATTATTGAGAATGTTGTTAAGTGGCTAAAAAAACTCTTCATTTACAAAAATTACTAGTAAAGCAATATTTGATTATTACAGAAATATTAATAATCTGTCAACGAAACTAATCTGGAAAATAAACTTCGTTATGTATGAAGCGATAATGAAAATCCAAAATTTCTATTGGAATTATGAAGCTATCTCGAGTTTACATTTTTGGCTTAAAATAATAAAAAGTGAAAGTATTTAAGACATCAAATTTGCAACAGATTAAATGTATTTGTGTAGTTTATTCTAAGATAAAGCTTGCTTTATGTTCCTTTTAATCTATGATAAACTTAATAAAACTAGATGGTAAATTTTAACAACTAAATTATAAACCCAGCAAGGTCTAAACCGCCATATTACAATCATGTTTTACAACATCTAACTTGATATACATACCTTCGTGTAATCGTTATCTGGCTTGAATTATCCAGGTTCATTATTTGGTTGTCAACATCATAAATAGCAAGTGTCAAAATTTGATCTATCGTTATACCTGATCCAATGTTGTCCAAAATAATATCTTCACCTTGTGAAGTATCAACGAGTCCTATCTTTGCAGGATAACTGGCAAAGTTTGGCCCATAATCAGCCTTATTGTTACTAAAATCAGTATTATTTATTCTTGGATAATTGTAGTTATAATATATTGCTCCTCCTTTGACTTTGGCATTATTATTGAAGAATTCAGAGTTTCTAATATTTAATTCACAATTAGCCATGCTTGTACATTCAAAGGTGATTGCACCTCCAGAGTATGCAGAGTTGTTTCTGAATGTTGTGTTATAAATATTTATTTTACTATTAAAGATCTGAACAGCTCCACCTCTACTTGTTCCAGTTTCCTCATTATTAGAGAATGAGCAGTTCTTCATCATAAGAAGGTTAGACTCAGTGAATTCAAGAGTTTGCTTTCCATTACTAATTTCTAAATTCTCTATTACAGTAATATTTGATAATGAAAACTGAGCGAGCTTATATTGATACCCAGAGAGTTTGATATTCCTCAGCTCTACATTAAGAGTCTCTTGAAGGCTAAGCAATGGGTTAGAAACTGAATAAGAATTTTGTAATAGCAATGAATCTAGTTCAAATTGTTGACATTTAAGACATCCAATAAGCCCTTTATCGTTCACTACATCAGTTAATTGAATATTGCTCATGATTCAACTGGAGAATGATAACTGAGCAACTCTGAAATTAGAGTTTGAGAAGTTCAAGCCTGACGAGTTCAAAGTCCCAGATGTTATTTGGATAAATGCAATATCATCTTGAGTGTCCAACTTAGATCAATTTGATATCGTTAGGTTGTTCACAGAAGCTATAGTTGAAACCAGATTTATTGGGGATTTTATGAAGCCTATTTCTGATATGAAGGAGTTTTCTATTAGTAATTCTGAAGATAAACAGTATACGACTGAGGTGCTTTCATAGATTTGTGTGTTATTTATAATGTGAATCTCAGCCAGAAGCACTTGTATCAAAGTATCTGTCTGTGTAATTGCGGTAAAATTAAAGTCTGTAAGATAATTTTTTATTAACTCGCTCAAAAATCATAGCTTGACTCAACTTGAAGAAAGTTCTTCAGTCAAATCACTTTCAAAAATTGCATTGTTTGAATAAATCTTAGTATTACTGATGATTGAAGGGGTAAAAGCAGATAAGAATGTCCCTACTGGGTATTGTATTGCATAGTTTTCATAAATTTCACTTTGGAGTATTTTCAACACTGCGCCAGATTCTATCTCGAATACTCCACTTGTTACTCCAAAATTATTAGAGATTTTACAATTTGTTCAAATAATACTTGCTTCAGTATCCGCTTTGAAGATTGGAGATAAAACAGCTGAGTTATTCTGAAACAGTGAACTCTCAATTGTAATCACAGACCTATCAGATGCTCTGAATATCCCTGCAATAACACTCATTGAAGTAAACCCTGTGAATGAACTATTCTGAATTTCATAGACTAAATTCTGGCTTGTTGAGATGAACGGAGTCATAATAAGTGTTATGTCCGAAAATATAGAGTTCATAAACTTAAATTTTGTATCAATATTACTTGATGTTTTTCTCCCTTCAGCTTGAATAGACCCAGAATTAACTCTAGAGACAGAGCAATTATCAAATTTAACAACAGTTGGGAGTTGATGTTTCAACTCGATTAGTGATCCGGTGGTTGCAAACTCTATATCCTCAAACCTCAGGTTGTTGAACTGAATGTTCAGGCTAAGATCACCAACAAGTCTATCAGTTGAAACCAATGACCTAGAGGATGGAATACTGCATTCAGAGTATCTTATATTACTGAAAGAGATATATCTCTCAGAATTTGATACCATTGTAAGACTTCCAACCCCGAACAATGACAGAGAAGAGTTCAAAATTGTGATGTCAGAAAATTCAGCAGTGTGCATTTCCTCATAATTTAGAGAAGCAATCCGTATAATATTCTCAGTTGTTCCATATGCACTGAAGGGGTGAACATTCTCAACAGTTATATTAGAAACTTTGATTGAGTTTATGTACAAGAAACTTAGCAAAGAGTCCCCATTTGGAGTTTTACAATCTTTGAACTTAAAGTTTTCCACAGTCATCATCACTGGAGCAGCATCTATTGAAAATAAGGACACACTAGGTATTTCGGCATTTTCAAAGCTAAAATCCTTCATAATTACTGAACTTGTGGCTGGCAACTTCAGAGCAAATAAAGGAGAATTATAAGCTCCTTTATTATTGAAATTCCTGACAATTACGCCATCAAATTCAACATTCCCATAAGCAGTGATTTGAAGTATTCCGGCTGTATGATTCAGGCTATCTTCAAAAGTCAAATTCTTAACTTTTATGTCTTTAATAGTAGAAACTTCTATCACGAATAAGTTGGATGAAATGTTGTGGAACATGAAATTTGTTATTTCAGCTGCCTCTACTCCAATACTGTATAAGTAGAACAATCTATAGCTCCAATGTTGGGTGATGTTGATATAATTAAAATTCGTCATGTTGATATAAACAGGGCGATAAGGAACTGTAAATGCTACAACTGGAGTAATTAATATATTCCCAATTCCAGCGTCTAGTGGTCGGCCATCTGAATTTACAGATTCGTACTCTACAAGTTGAAGTAAGTCATCATTTGGGATTCACGTTGGGCCATAGCCAACCACTATTCACATGTCAATTTCATCGTTTACAGGCAGATTTCCTCAATCAATATCGATCATGGTATGGTTCCCAGGGAGAGCAGAATTTAATAAGCTGTAGTTATAAACTGTCTTCTTGATAGAAATCGAAGTAGTCACATTTTTCACATAAACAATATTCCTTGTGAAGGCTTCTGGATAATTTCAAAACACAAGCAACGGATAGAAGAAAATGTCTTGCCTTGATATATCCACAGAGATATTCTCAAGGTGCACGTTCATGGGATCTTGGCTGTCAAGTGAAGTTCCAGTAACGTTGAAGTCGAGATTGTCTAGAGAAGGGTTAGGCGGGGGGTTTAAGGGGGATTAGAACTTGAGGGTGGGTGTGGAAGAAGATGAGAGCAAGGTTTTGGGAGTAGGGTTTGGGAATGTGGGGATGGATAGATAAGGGTCTGGAAGGGTCGGTTAGAAGGAGGGTTTGGATAAGGGTTTTGGTGTGGTTGGGCAAAGGTTTTAGGAGATATGAGAGAAGAGTGATGGTGGATCTGAAGATGCAAAAATTAGAGTGGACCTTTCTCAAATGGATATTTGTTAGATTTATCCAGCTAACCTTCTTTCAAAATTAGCATTTGCTTTAAACTTCGTGGATATTAATTTTAGTAACTCTAAAGAATTTTTCAGATAAGAAACTTTTTCTTCTGCGTTTGAAAAACTCTAAATTATTTGCACTTTGTGTTTAAAATAAAAAAATAGTATCTAAATTCTTAAGAAGAAGGAAATTAAAAGCGAAAGCAGAGATAATTATAAAATAATTCTTACATAAACCACAATAAGCATCAATTTTATGCAAAATTTTACATCAGCACTCTGAAAATACTAATAATAATACTAAGCAGAAGATTTGTGCTATGATAAGGGTGACTTAAAAGAGGGTTTCCTTTTGTCCTAATTTTGCACATCTAATACGTAATCAACTACCCAAATTAGTATCTTAAGGTCGCTTTATCTCTAAGAAGCCATTATAACTATTTTTGCTCATAGCAGAGGCCTCCACCAAGTGCTTAAACTGATGGAAGAAGTTATTAATAATACATTGAAGTTAATTAAAACACAGTTTTTAGTGCTTAAGGCTCTATTTTTGGTAGAGATTTTGAGAACGTGCATAAATTGAGCAATAATTAGTGCTGATAGAATAAAAATAGGCTACTCAAAGTGCAAAAAATTTAGTTGGTTGATAAGATGAAAATGAAGACCAAACGGCATTTCAAAAGGGTCAGAGGAGTTTTAAGACAATCAAATTGGCTCCTATAGTCGTTCTATTGTGTTACATAGGTACTACTAAGCCTTACAAAATTTGACATCTTTGTCTTGGAGATAAATTGGAGCTCAGAAGTGCTTCAAGTCATTGCTGTGAAATTCTATGTCAGATATTTCCAGACTTGTCCTATAAGCCATAATTCCCATTTTATCTTTTGAGAGTCCAGATTTCTCAGTTTCTCCAGTTTCCTCGATTGCAACAAATTGGTTATGGTTTATGGGAACATCTCTTAAAAGATGGAAACGAGCTTTCTTGGATATCCCATGTTGAGGCTGGCTAGTGAAAGATATTTGTGCTCTCTTGTTCATAATCTTATACTCAGGGTGAGCTGTTATTTTGACATTTGTCATATTCATAAAATAGAAAGTATCAGTTTCGATATAGCCATCCTTCACATAAATAGTAACTTCAGCTTGTGTGTTACTATAATGATTCAATATTTCTGATGCAGCTGACTTGAACGTCCGATAGGGGTATTTTAAGGTGCCTAACTCAATAGGTTCCCGACTATCAGGGTCGATATAGATGTTCAGAGTCTTTCATATTTTTCCAATATTCATCTTCTCAGATGTGACCATGACCTTATTATTACCCAAATCACACGACTCAACACACTCAAACTCTTCAGCATCAAACACCTTCCCAGAAGGTCACTCAAATCAGCCCTCTCTCTGCATTCACTCATAAGCTCACACTCCATTACACTCCAATCACCTACCCCCAATAGGGTCATAATACTCTTCTGCACCACAAGTCTCTCACAGCCCAGTGACTTCGTTGACCCACATAAAATCTTCACAAGTAGTTCACAGAGTCTCGTCTTCTCAGGTTTTTCATGAGCTATTGCAGGGGGTTCAGGTTTCGTTTTGGCCGAAGTAACCGGCTTTTCATTGGTGGGGGTAGAAGGCGAGGGTTTGGGTGATGAATAGGAGTAGGAGGATGGTTAGGAGGGGAGGGGTGGAGAGAGGGATGTTGAATGGGTTAGTTCATCTTTTGGGATACTCCCTCTCCCAGTCACCTCCACCTCTCCCTCCACTCTTCCCTCCTCCCCTCCCATTCCCAACCCCCACTCTCCCCTTCTTCCCTCACCCCAATTCCTTCCAGCCTCTTCTTCTGCTTCCAACTTTCCTCATCTTTCAATTATTATATAAGCCAGTGGGGTTTTGGGGTTTTGGGGTTTTGGGG